CGTAATCGGATGTAACTTTTGAGGAAACACGAGTTTACTAGTCGGAAACTGGTGTTTTCAAGTTATTTCCATCGTGAAAAAAGCGCTTTTCACTATCTTGGGGTGGTTTTCCCGCCATCTATAGTAACAAAAACCCACTCTCTCGACATTTTTATTGCACAAAATGATACCAAAGCAATCTTTCCAACAGGGGCACCCAACGACAATTTTCGGAAAATTATCTGTTCGGAAGACGATTTGAGGTCTAGAATTTTCGGATCATTTTCTGACAAATTTCTTGCTTGCCTGCCTCTCCTAGGATTTTCGAACTTCAAAAAAATCGTATAATTGCCTATTTTTAACGGATTTTTACCCTAGAAAGGTCACCTAGAATTTTCGGGAGCCTTTTTTCTGGCTGAAATTTTCGAAAAGGTAAATTTTGATCCCTAGAATTTTCGGATCACTATACTTTCAGCTAGGAAATCCGAACAGATGAAAAATTTTTAGGGGATAAAAATAAGCCTTTATCTACCGTTTAAATACTAAAGTACGTTCAACAATGCTATGTTTATGTGGTTTTGAACTATACTCTCGTTGGGTGCCCCTGTTTCCAAGTACTTTCTTTATTCTCCTTGCTTCCTAAATTGACAATCAGGTATTCTTGGTTAAGTTACATTACATTTTAAGTGTGAGTGCCTATTCACACTAGTAATGAACAAGAATAGTAAGAGGCTTCCTTTAGGAAATCCACTAGAAATTTTCTGTAGGACAACGTAGTGTTTTTTTGTAAAGAAAATGTCAAATCTGTTAACAAATTAATATCGTTTATAGCAGATAGTGATAAACACTTTCATGTGCAGCTTATGGCTAGTGATAGGTTTGGTTGTCTATAATATTTCAACAAAGTGGAATATGATTTGTCGGTTGAATGTACATTGTAGTCCTGAGTAGGACTGTTGTTGGCAGCGACTAACGTTTTGACAACAAGGTAATCATCATTTTTATGGGCATTGTCAAAATATCAGTTCCTGTCAACAGTCCCACTAAGTACTATACTAACCTGTATGATCGTATACCACTTACTTATATCACCATTCTGCTTCAGGATAATATTATATTGTGTCAGGAAATATTCTTACTCTTCTGACATGGTAGTCTAAATTACACAATTTTCTATGACCAGTACAAAGATTCAAATGCAAAAAAACAACAACAACTAACAAAGTATGTTTCATGTATACGTTTTAGGTCACTTCTATGCTGAAGTCATCACTTAGTGTCTTTACCCATACACAAAATGCTCGACTTGTAGAATTGTGAAGAAGATACATGAATCAAGCCAATTTCATCAGAAAGTACAAACCATAATAATTCTTGGTGATTTACGCAGTCAGAGTATTATTTTAAGCTTGAAAAAGTTGGCCAAGAGTAAATCCATGTTCATCCTTGTCATACATAGCAAGAGGTGACAGGAAACAGTCCCAATGCCTCAATCAAGTATTAAATAACAAAACTGGACCATTATTTTTGGAGCTTAATTTACGCCACGACACGTTTAAGCCTCTCACAGAACAAAATATAGCATAACCTAGCCCTTTTTAAGCAATATAAAATGCCTTTCTGGAAAAGATGTTCACAAAGTTCTAATAATTATTATTGTTATAAATGATTATGCGTTATTGACCAACATTCGGTCAAGATGGCGGGATATTGGCCAAACTCTTTTTTGCGAGGCCAATACCCAGCTATCTTCACCAAACAAGCTTGATTGGTTTGCCCACATGAGTAGCTAATTAGATCACAGGATTTGCTTCATGCATCTTGCCCGCTCATGGATTCAACCATAAAATTGTGATAAATAATTATGCTTTATTGACTGGGTGTGAGGTTAAGATGGCTGGATATTTGCATCTTTATTGACCCTGCCTTCCTCTTGCAAGGCTGTGCTCTAAGAAAAATTGAAGGCAGCCCAGCACTCTCAACTTGGGAAATCCAGTGCTCCCAACAAAAGATGTTTCTATGAAAAAGCAAAGATTTTCTGGTCACCCGAGAACAAAAGTTACAGAGTAGGTGCCACGGGCCACAGAGCACAGCCTGGTCTTGGTCAATAAAAATGCAAAAATGAATGAGGCCAATATTCGGCCATCTTGAACGAACAAGCTTGGTCAATAAATGAATTATTACATGGCCAAGAAGAGAACTTTTACTTGCGGGACCAATGCGGGAAATCCCAAGTGGGTAAAAAGGGCTCATCTTGCCCGCTTGATATTTTAAAAATGTCGAGGAACAAGTCATTCGACGTCAGAGCAAGGTTTGGAGCAGTTTATAGTGCTTCTAAAACTAAAAAGTACCTTTTAAAGAATAGCACGATAGGCAATCAGCTTTTGTTTTCATTTTTAGCAAACACTGAATTTACTTGTCCCGAAAATTTGAACTGGTGGCTCCTTCTACCTGACAGTAATTTATTTTTGAAATTCCAAAACAATTTCACAGCTGAATTTTGAGCGACTTTTAGTTACTGACTTCTAATCCAACGATTTTTCTGAAATTTCTTTGGCACATTTATTATGTCAATGAAAGCCGATACCAAAAATTTCAATAAAAAGTATCGGCAAAATTTTTTACTAGACGCGATTTTCTTTGAACACCAGGGTCCTTTTAAGCGCTAATTTCTCAAGAAATATTTACCATCAATGAAATCGGAATATTTCGTACTATTGCCGAATGATATCTGTTGTTCGTTGCAAAGTTTCGCAGCCATCACTCATTTGTCACAGCCAAATGCTCCAATATTGATGACGGAGCCACCTTAAAAGGGCCAGTCTCGGTTGCTTGGAGATTAGATAAGATAAGGAGGCGATTAATTCTACACGAAGCAGGATTTCTTCGCTTAAAGGTTTCACTTCCCACTTTATCGACGGTCGTATATTCTTCAGAAAATTTAATAAATTCAGAATATTTAATGAATATTTTCTTCAAAATATATGCGTGTACAAATACAAATCATTGCTAGAAAGTAAAAACGTGATGAACAATTGCGCGTCATTTCAATCATCGCCAAAAATAAACCGCATGCTCATCACAAGACTCATTTTCATACCATGAAAGTTTACAACGCCCGACCAGTTTATAGCCTCACCATCGAAGTTTTCACTGAAGCATTCACCTGTTCCAAAGTAATCAACGCTTTCAAGCAATAGAATTCGTGGACCGACCCGTTCCCGGAAAGCTCAACATCTCTGCATCAATCTTTCCTAAGCTTTGTTTACAAAATAGAGCATGGCGCTGTGACAGGTAGCAATTCCCATCTTCAGTTTCCACGATCTCCGCTAGTAACGCCTGGGACCATGATTCCCTTTTGGCGCGCACACAAACGAGACTAACTACCTACTCTGCTGGTCTATGTTTTAAAAGCTTAGCTAGTAATTTTCTTTTTTTTTCGGGGAACAAGTTTTTTCTCTCAACTCAAAAGACTCGTCGTTTGTCACAGTTACTAAAACAAAAGGGCGTTATCAATCATTTGCCCCAGTCTGTCTTATGACGAGGCACTTAATGAAACTGGTATTCCGACCATTATTTCATATTGCGAGGACATATGTGACAAGGTTTTTAACGCTGCCCTCTGCAACAAGGATAACAAACTGAACAAGTTATTAACTGAAACCAATAAGGCTCCATATTTACTAAGAAATCACCGATACTTTGCACTTCCAAAGTGGAAAACGGACCGTTTTAAGAACACTTTTATTTTGTCATCGTGCCTAATTAAAGTACAATTAAATGATTCGGTTTAAATGCTTTTATATATTATATGCATGAATTTTTAATATATTTAATATGGATGTATGGTAAATTATTTTATTTTTATTCGTAAATACGCAATTTAGCCTCTGGCTGCCCACGTATTTATTTTTGAATAATGGGCGTTTGTTTCGCTTAAGTCCAGCAAACATGTAGGATTGGTCTCAGACCTAATAGTCCGCGCTTCCCCTAAACGATCGTCTAACTCTTTCCTGTTTGACTTTCTGTTTACGATTCACCGCAAACTGGCCAGCTGCCATTTCTACTTTGATATCGCGGCAATAGTTTCGAATAACTTACTTCCATTTGACTGACGAACTTTATCCTAATACAATTAAAGAATAATACAAGAATATTTTCAGCCCAAAATCGGCAGAGAAAAATAAGAATATTCAGCCTATGTCTTTTAAACTGAAGCTATATAATGCGACTTACATCGTATTAGCTGATTTAATTATTAAGGAACAGATGATTTATTAAGTAACTAGGGTGCTGTATCTTTAGGCCGCCTCACACTCTTTAAGTCACCCGTGAACCTGCAATTTATCAAAAAATGTGTTCATGGGTCCAGCAAATACTATTGGATTGGTTTGCGACGTAAAAATTCCGTTTTCCTCTTAAGTCACGTCTCAGCTCGTTCGGTCTGACTGTATGTTTGAGATTCATGATTGAAAACCAACTGCCTTTTGCTATTGATATTGCTTTTAATATTGCATCAGTAGTTTCATATAACTTCCTTCCTTTTTAACTGACGAACTTCAACATTTATACGACCTATTGCGTTTCGCTCGAAAGAAAATTAATACTAATTATTGTGTGATGATGACGTTACATTTAAAGTTTTAATTCCGAGTTCAGACATGCAAAGTTTCAATTTCAAGCAAGGTGAGAGTTTGGATATTGTGAGCACGACTTAGGGACTTTTTTTACTAACTCAACAGTACTCAGTTAAAATCCAATTGCCATCGGAGGAGGAAGTCTGGAGAATATTCAGTAAGTCTCGCAAAGAGTAATTTCCAGCGTCAGTCTCGTGCAAAAAAGAAAAAAATTGCAGAGTTCCTCAAAAGTACGGCTGCTGAAACTTAAGACTGTATATAACGCTCCATTCAATGGTGGAAGCTGAAGGTCAGTCTCATTCAAAAACGGATGAAACCTAGAAAGCAATGAAATTCTTTGCATATCATAGAAACTGAACGCTGATTAGGGTTATGTAAAAAAAAATGGCAAGTGCTGAAGGCTTGCATTTGACGCTTGTTTTCTTCAACGCTTTCTTGTCTTTCACCGCCATCGTATTAAACATCATAACCATGCAAGCGCTCAGAAAAACGTCGTCGTTGCCTAAGACTTTAAAAACATTGCTACTAAGCCTGGCTGTGTCTGATCTGGGTGTAGGCTTACTTGTCGAACCACTGTTTGTTGCATTTCTTGTGATGGAAAAAAACAGTACTGCTTATTCTACAGTAAAGTTAGCGCGTTCAATCCCGGCAAAAATATTGGTCTTTGCTTCGCATTTTGGTGTTTTTGCATTAGCTGTGGACAGATTCTTGGCCATTAAGCTTCATCTCAGATATCAAGAGCTTGTGACCCACAAACGTGTTGTTGCTGTTGTGATCTCACTCTGGGTGTTTAGTGCATCAATTTCCTTCCGAAGTCCTCGTATTATGCGAGCGGTCATTGCACTTGTTTGTGTCATAACTACAGGACTGCTTTATTGCAAGATATACGCTTCCGTGAGACACCACACAAATCAGATTCACCGTGACGCTCTGCAAGTACAACAGGCGACACAGAATGAAGATATGGCAAATGCCGCAGGGCTGAAAAAATCTTCACTGGCTACATTCTACGTTTATTTCGTGTACTTAGTTTGCTATTTGCCATTGTATTGTGTTGTTTTTGCCCAGACCAATGGTGAAACTCCCTTGTTATCTCATTTATCTTATTTCACAAGGACTCTTGTGTATCTCAATTCATCCCTCAATCCCTTGATCTACTGCTGGAAGATGAGACACATTCGACAAACTGTTATGGATATACTTAGAAATATTTCGGCGATTTGTCCCCACTAAAGAAAGGATCTAACTGAGAATAACTTAATCGGCCTTTTTCTCTCTGAGTGGTGAAAATATTAGCCTTCCAGTAATACAATTGGAAAAATGACACTAAATATAAACGGGAACTGAAACCTTCTTGTACTCTCTGTTTGAAGGCCAAGGGATAAATATATGATCGAGTGAGTATAAGTTCATGAGATTTCAGTTTACTTTGAAATAATTAACAAATAACGGGAAACTTTGAAAGTATTATTTATCAAAGTCAGAAAGAGGGCAAAAAGAAAAAGCTGGGTGGTTTAGGACGAATGACGAGTGACGTGATAAATAGAGGGCCGGGTTTCCAAATTTTCATGGGCAAAAAGTTCTGTGTACGTACAGTAAAGTGTCTTAAAAAGTTTACTAGATTTTGTTAACCATAGTGCATCCAATAAAGAAGACTAACTAAAGAGGAGAGAGATCAAAACTATGTCAATAAATCTTCCATACTGAATGTACCAAGAGTGGTGAAAAGATTGACCGATATAACAACAACAACGTCAACATCAACACATAATAATAATTATTATTATAATAAAAATAATAAGAATAATACTAATAAGAATAATAATGATAAGAAGAACAACACAGCCTATTTGTTGAGAGAGAAGAAAACTAGTAGTTTATACTGTTGAGAATATATATTACAATACTTGTAATTGATTCATATCAATAAAGTTCACGTGAAAAAGCTAAAATGTTTTGAAGAATGGTAAAAATATATCATTTAATCAGGGTTTTTTTAATTTGTTGAGTCCAGAAATTACTGAATAAGATCACTACATTTGAAAGTTTCATACTGGGAAAGAAAGAGCTTCCCTGACAGTGCAACCGATCAGAACAAATGATATAGCTTATGACATCATAATACTTTAAAATACCATAATACGGAACCTGAGAGCAGACATAATATGGCTCCAATATCAATCAAAGTGCTTCTTGCTCTGAGATTAAAAACTTAGAACCATATAATGTTTGACGAAACAATTAAGTACAAGGCCCAGGGTTGAACCTAAGTAAACAGTTTCCTCATGTCCCAGTTCAACGACTTGCAAGCAACTCTCGGTACGTGCGTTTACAATAACGTTAAAACTTTGTACGAGACCGTACTTAATGTTTCCGTAGGCATTTAGAACGAGCGAGTCCAAAAAAAGTAATTATTGTAACCAATGATGTATAACAGAACAACAGCGATAACAACATGAAAATGAAAAAAAGAAAGATTAATGAATCCATATTTCAAATCTTTTTAAAACAGTATTCTTATCTCAATATAGATTCGTTAATAAATGAAATGAAAAGAACTTAAACTTTTCTTTTGTTAATAAATGAAATATAAAGAATTTAAAGTTTCAGTCTTGTTTCTATTTATGTGCTTGTGGCTTCACTGGCCTCTACATCTACATCTACATCTACATCTACATCTACAAGTCCCTCCTCTAGCCGCTTGTAATTATTGTATTTTGAATTCATTATAAAATAATTGTAATTACTCTCGTCTGTAATCTCGTAATTATCGTATATCTTGCCGTATTTTTACATCATTAGAATAATATATTTTGAATTCGTTATTGTAATTAATCACCCCACAGCCATAAGGTGGCAAATGAAAAAATGAAAAAAAAAGAATCCATATTTCAAATCTTTTTAAAACAGTATTCTTATCTCAATATAGATTCGTTGATAAATGAAATGAAAAGAACTTAATCTTTTCTTTTGTTAATAAATGAAATATAAAGAATTTAAAGTTTCAGTATTGTTTCTATTTAGGTGCTTGTGGCTTCACTGGCCTCTACATCTACATCTACATCTACAAGTCCCTCCTCTAGCCGCTTGTAATTATTGTAGTTTGAATTCATTATAAAATAATTGTAGTTAATCTCGTCTGTAATTTCGTAATTATCGTATATCTTGCCGTATCTTTACATCATTAGAATAATATATTTTGAATTCATTATTGTAATTAATCACCCCACGGCCATAAGGTGGCAAATGAAAAAATGAAAAAAAAATAATCCTTATTTCAAATCTTTTTAAAACAGTATTCTTATCTCGATATACATACGTTAATGAATGAAATGAAAGGAATTTAAAATTTTCTTTTGTTAATAAATGAAATAAAAAGAATTTAAAGTTCTTGTTTCTTGTTTCTATTTATGTGCTTGTGGTTTTGTTGGCCCCTAAACCTACATTTACATCTGCCAGTTTTCTATCCCTCCTCTAGCCGCTTGTAATTATTGTATTTTGAATTCATTATCAAATAATTGTATAATCTCGTTTGTAAACTCGTAATTATTGTTTGTCTTGTATCTTTATATCATTAGAATAATATATTTTGAATTCATTATTGTCATTAATCTCTGTAATTTCGTAGTTATATTGTATATCCTTATGTCATTAGAAAAATATTGTATATTGGGTAATAGACACGTCTCCATATTACCTGCCTCGATTAGCTCCGCTATTTTGCAGGTAGCCTGTATTTGTAATTTATTTATTGTGAATGTTTACAAATAAAGTTTGTTGTATGACAACATCGTATATTTTTCACTATTCTTAAACTAAAATGTGTTTTCTCCTACACATTGTTTTTCCTGTTCTTTGGTTACGAGCGCTCTTTCATAATCATGAAAGTTCCCCCACAATTTCTATTTCAAGGGAGGGAGGGAAGACAAGTATGCTCTGGTCATTTAGCAACTTTTAACCGCAAAGAAAAACACAAGACATACACACTTCATACACACTGAAGTTTTTTTTCGGCCCACAATGTAACTTCTGGGTCAACTAGCTAAATGTGCCAGCCAATAAAGACAATAATTAAAGTCTAATGTTTTTACTACCTTCATTTAGAAAAGGCTATTCGATTCAGGGAGGGGATTGAGGCTAATTATTGTTACATCAGTTTTATCCAAAAAAAACATTTTACCACTTCCTTACGTGTATTTGTATAAGAAGACATTTTACAAGGAAATAAGCGAGTTTTTTTGTTTATTTGGTACGCATTAAATTGCTCGCAATGATATTGTTTTCGATACATTTTCAATAAAATGAAATTGAGAAATAGTTGATTGTCGTTTAAGGCATACATTGCGTTTTTGCAACATGATTACTCATCGAATTGCCACGTCGTGTTGGCTGGTGGCTACAATGGATATTTTAAACACTCTGATCATTTGCTACTGATTAAACTTTGACACACAAGACAGCATGATTTGTTTAACTACCTACTGTGTCTTCGTTTAACACCCAAGCTAGTAAGTTTTTTTCATGGATAATAATTTTCTTATCTAAACTCCTCCCTGTAACTAGTCGTAGATCGTTTTTATCAAAAGGTCTGCCTCATATTTTTTGCTTGGATCCAGTAAATACATCGGATTGGTCTCCGATTTCTTTTTGTATGAATTTCTATTAGCGATTCATTGCGACCAGCTGTTGTTAATACATTAATATTGCTTTAGTAGTTTCAATCTCTTCGTTTTTGATCATGACCGACGAAATTCATCACTTAGTACAAAGTTCGACTTGTTCTCATTCGGGATCTTGTTTACTGTGGGTAATGTCGACTGACATATCGGTCGACATAGCGGTCGATATAGCGGTCGACAGTCGGTCGATATAGCGGTCGACAGTCGGTCGATAGTCGGTCGATAGTCGGTCGATAGTCGGTCGATAGTCGGTCGACAGTCGGTCGATAGTCGGTCGATAGTCGGTCGATGGTCGGTCGATAGTCGGTCGATAGTGAGATAGACTATCGGCCGAGTATCGGTCGATATTTCGTCGACGCACCTCGACTTACTATCGGTCATATGTCGGTGATATATCGGTCAACTGTCGGTGATATATCGGTCAACTGTCGGTGGTATATCAGTCAACAGTCGGTGGTATATCGGTCAACTGTCGGTGGTATATCGGTCAACTGTCGGTGGTATATCGGTCAACTGTCGTTCGAATATTAGTCGTGTGTTAATTTATCAGGTGAGTCCTATGGCTTTTTTTTTTAAGCAAAGACGTCATTAATTACTGTTATCATGCGATGGGGAACATGTGCCAGTGCAAGGCGCGATTACGCTATGAAGAGAACCGAAGAGCACTGGGAACTAAGGACATGATAACCATTTTTTTTCCAGTTTTTATCATTACCGATCGTCTGAGTTTTAGCTGTTAAACAGAACCTGTCTCAGCCTAAGTTGAATCTGCTGCTCCTGTGGTCCCGCAAAAATGTAGGAAAATGTAGGAAATGCTAAGTGTCGACCGACCATCGACCGAGTGTCGACCAATTACTGACCGACACATCGGTAAAGTATCGACCAACTATCGACCAAGTATCGGCGAAGTGTCGGCGAAATGTCGGCGAAAAGTCGGCGAAGTGTCGGTGAACGAAAAGCTATATCGGCCGAGACACATCTGGAACGACTATCGGCCGTGTCTCGACCGAGTGTCGACCCACTATCGACCGACTATCGACCGACTATCGACCGCTATATCGACCGACTGTCGACCGAGTGTCGACCGACTATCGACCGAGTGTCGACCGAGTATCGACCGACTGTCGATCGAGTGTCGACCGACTATCGACCGAGTGTCGACCGACTATCGACCGAGTGTCGACCGCTATATCGACCTCTATATCGACCGATATCTCGGTCGACATTACCCACAGTAAACAAGATCCCTCATTCGTATAAAAGCCGCCGCGTGACGATTTAATCAACAAGATTAGTGTGTGCTCCCCCGCGAAGCAGTCTATTGGTCCTTTACGGTCCCCAGGGAAATTCCCTAGGCCTTTTATACGCCCTAGCAAACAAATTCACCGTCTTCTCGCAAGTCTACTCTACAAGGGGCAAGCAAGTTTCATTCTTCCGCAACGCGAACAGCGCCGCTGAAGCTCTTTCATGGCTCTCGTCCGTGTTTAACCAGACCCAGCTGATGCGGTAAATATTGCTTCGACAGAGCCTCAACCAGCACCAACACCATCCTCCTAAGTATCATGTTTTAATTTCTCGCTTCCCCCTTTTCTTGTCAATTTGTCACATACGTGGCGTTTATCTTTTTCACCATTCTGTTCTGGAGTTTGTTTACGTTAGCGCTTTTAGGCGTCTGTGCAACGTACCAGAGGTAAGGCGACCCTTATTTGATTATTGTCGCGCCTTTTGCGTCTGTTACAGTATAAGGAAAACGAGCCGGAACATATTTACGTTGGCGCTTCATGGCGTCTGTGAAACGTAAAAGAGCCTCTCAACAGTGCAGTTCAGTGGAATGTATTTAATTACGTTGGCGCCCTTCGGCGTCTGTGAAACGTATAATGAAGAGCAAGACATTACGTTGACGCTTCTTAGCGTTTGTGAAACGTAAAGGAGGATCCCAGCCGCTCTACTCAGTGGCATGTTTTTAATCAGTTACGTTGGCGCCTTTTGGCGTCTGTGAAACGTACAATCAAGGTATAGACATTACGTTGACGCTTCTTAGCGTTTGTGAAACGTAAACGAAGATCTCACCAATGCAGTTCGGTGGCATGTTTTTAATTTCGTTGGTGCCCTTTAACGTCTGTGAAACGTACAATGACGAACAGACATCTTTGGCTTTACTTCGCGACCGTCCATCGTACATTTGGTCTACAGTCTTTGATGCTTTATGGCATTTTACGTGTATGTATTGAAAGATTTTAGAATAAGGTGGCCAGTTGTTTATTTTTCCCGTTCGTTTCCTACTCATTATATTGTCAACATTTTGTATAATTTCTGCACATTGCATTGTCAGCATACTCCGTGCCCCCTCGCAGTTAAGGTGACGTAACTCCTAGATATCAGTAACCACATCCTCTTTACTCTAGCGTACAGCCTTAATAAATTTGCATGAGTTTCCTTGTATATTATATTTTTCTTTGGCTTTTGCTTCCTATATTTCCTTACCCCACACTTGAGTCGTGCTCAGGGGGGGTTCCTAAACACACCCCTCATCCAGTCTACGGACGGTGTCCTGACTCGACTCAACTGTGGGGTTCCCTCCCAACCTCCCTCTATCGCAGGGTCTTTCCTTCTTTTTATCTCCTCCCATTCGGATTTCCCTAACCGGGTTACACATGCTGCAAGTCACCCTTCAGCTTTCCTTTAGCGTATCCGGGTGGGACAGCCCCACAGTTGGGCCGGGCCACTCCCCTCAATTGAATCCGTCACATCTGGGAGGCATTACGCCAACACTGCCCATCTCTCTAAGGGAGTTTTTCTGGGTTTTTCTGAGTTTCGGGAAGATTTGGCTGTACTGCAAGTTAATGAGGTATTCTGCAATAATTTACCGTCTTTTGGATGAGTCTATAGCACCCCTGGTGTCGGGCAAAATTTTTCACCCATAACTTATCCATCAAAAGGCATAAGGTGGTTTTTATGCGAATGTGAATTAGTTACTATTCTCATTCGTATAAAAGCCGCCGCGTGACGATTTAATCAACTAGATTAGTGTGTGCTCCCCCGCGAAGCAGTCTATTGGTCCTTTACGGTCCCCAGGGAAATTCCCCAGGCCTTTTATAAGCCCTAGCAAACAAATTCACCGTCTTCTCGCAAGTCTACTCTACAACGGGCAAGCAAGTTTCCCCACCCTCCTCCCCTTCAGCGGCGCTGGCAAATTTTCTCTATCAGCCCACCTTATGCCTTATGCAAAATTTTTCACCCATAACTTATCCATCAAAAGGCATAAGGTGGCTTTTATGCGAATGTGAATTAGTTACTATCGCGTTTCGGTTTAAATGAAAATATATTCAAATTACTGTGTGATGACGACTTTATAAATTATGAATTACGGGCTCTGTTTTAATGCTCTGCTCTTGTTTTAATTCCAAACAAGGGAATATTTCGGATGCTATGAGTACAACTTTATGTGTCAATGAAGGGAGAAAGTATCGTCTTGTTTATTAAATGCGCATTAAATTGCAAGCAATGATGAACTTTCTTTATATTAACCTAAAAAGCTGGAGATAAATAAATATGATTCACGTTTTGATAGCTGCCTCGGATGAATTTAACACCACTATCCATTAAGTAAGTTAATAAAGCGTAGTATATGGTCCTTGATTACTTTCTTAATAAAATGAAATTGAAACATACTTCTCGAGTTGATTGTAGTTTAAGGCATATATTACTTTTTTGGAATATGATTACTCATTGAATTGCCTCCTGGTGTTGGCTGGTTTCATTAAGCTGAGACTCAGACAATGGGCCGGTGTTTTAGACGTTCTGATCGTTTGCAGCTGATCAAGTCTGACACATATATGACCGAATGATTTTTTAAGTAACTACCCACTGTATCTTTGTTTTAAAACCCCAGCTAGTAAGTTTTTTTTATAGGTAATGTCTTTTTTTTCTGAACCCCCAGTCCTAAGACTCGTCGTAAGTCGTATTTAATTAAAACTTGGGCGTTTTTTATAGTTTTTACTTGAGTTCAGCAAACACGTTGGATTGGTGTCCGACCTAATAGTCAGCTTTTAACGCCTTCCAAACTAAAATGTGGATTTCCAATTTGGAAAAATCCAGAAGAGTATTGGCATTTGATACTGAAAAACTTTGTGTTTCTGAAAGGTTTTCGCTAATTAGAAGGAGAAAAAATAATAGTGTTCAGTTGTGTCCACAACTGGCGCGCACACAAGCGAGACTAACTACCTACTGTGCTGGTCTATGTTTTAAAAGCTTAGCTAGTAATTTTTTTTACGGGGAACAAGTTCCTTCTTTCATGTCAAGAGACTCGTCGTTTGTCATAGTTACTAAAAAAACGTGCGTTTGTTTCGCTTTAGTCCAGCAAACATGTAGGATTGGTCTCATACTTAATAGTCTGCATTTCCTCTAAACCATTGCTTAACTCTTTTCTGTTTGACTTTGTGTTTACGATTCACCACAAACCAGCTGCCATTTCTACTTTGATATTGCGCCAATAGTTTCGAATAACTCACTTCCATTTGACTGACGAACTTTATCCTGATACAATTAAAGAATTATAATACAAAAATATTTTCAGCCTAAAACCGGCAGAAAAAACATAATATTCAGCCTGTGTGTTTTAAACTGAAGAAACTGAAGCTATATAATACGACTTGCATCTTATTAGTTGCTCTAATTATTAAGGAACAGATGATTTATTAAGTAACTAGGGTGCTGTATCTTTAGGCTGCCTCACACTCTTTAAGTCACCCGTGAGCATGCAATTTATCAGAAAATGCGTTCATGGGTCCAGCAAATACTGTTGGATTGGTTTTCGACGTAAAAATTCCGTTTTCCTCTCAAGTCACCTCTCAGCTCGTTCTGTCTGATTGTATGTTTGCGATTCATGATTGAAAACCAACTGCCTTTTGCTTATTTAATATTGCATCATTAGTTTCATATAACTTCCTTCCTTTTTAACTGACGAACTTCAACATTTATCCGACCTATTGCGTTTCGCTTGAAAGAAAATTAATACTAATTACTGTGTGATGATAACGTTACATTTAAAGTTTCAACTCCGGGCTCAGACATGCAAAGTTTCAATTTCAAGCAAGGTGAGAGTTTGGATATTGTGAGCACGACTTAGGGACTTTTTTTACTAACTCCACAGTTCTCAGTTAAAAACCAATTGCCATCGGAAGAGGAAGTCTGGAGAATTTTCAGTAAGTCTCGCAAAGAGTAATTTCCAGCGTCAGTCTCGTGCAAAAAAGAAAAAAATTGCAGAGTTCCTCAAAAGTACGGCTGCTGAAACTTAAGACTGTGTATAACGCTCCATTCAATGGTGGAAGCTGAAGGTCAGTCTCATTCAAAAACGGATGAAACCTAGAAAGCAATGAAATTCAGATCATTACGTATTATAGAAACTGAACGCTGATTAGGGCTATGTAAAAAAAAAAAAAAAAAGATGGCAAGTGCTGAAGGCTTGAATTTGACATTTGTTTTCTTCAACGCTTTCTTGTCTTTCACCGCCATCGTATTAAACATCATAACCATGCAAGCGCTCAGAAAAACGTCGTCGTTGCCTAAGACTTTAAAAACATTGCTACTAAGCTTGGCTGTGTCTGATCTGGGTGTAGGCTTACTTGTCCATCCACTGTATGTTGCAACTCTTGTGATAGAAAAAAACAGTACTGCTTATTCTACAGTAGAGTTAGTGCGTTCAATCCAGGCAAAAATATTGGTCTTTGCATCGAATTTTGGTGTTTTTGCAATAGCTGTGGACAGATTCTTGGCCATTCAGCTTCATCTCAGATATCAGGAGCTTGTGACTCACAAACGAGTTGTTGCTGTTGTGATCTCAGTCTGGGTGTTTAGTGCATCAATTTCCTATCCAAGTCATCCTATTATGCGAGCGGTCATTGCAGTTGTTTGTGTCACAACTACAGGATTGCTTTATTGCAAGATATACGCTTCCGTCAGACACCACACAAATCAGATTCACGCTCTGCAAGTGCAACAGGCGACACAGAATGAAGATATGACAAATGCCGCAAGGCTGAAAAAATCTTCACTGGCTACATTCTACGTTTATTTCGTGTACTTAGTTTGCTATTTGCCACTTTCTTGTTATCTTTTTGCTAAGACCGTCAACGGTGAAACTCCCTTGTTATCTCATTTATTGTATTTCACAAGGACACTTGTGTTTCTCAATTCATCCCTCAATCCCTTGATCTACTGCTGGAGGATGAGACACATTCGACAAACTGTTATGGATATACTTAGAAATATTTTCGCGATTTGTCCCCGCTAAAGAAAGGATCTAACTGAGAATAACTTAATCGGCTTTTTTCTCTCTGAGTGGTGAAAAAATTAGCTTTCCAGCAATACTATTGGAAAAATGACACTAAATATAAAAGGGAACTGAAACCTTCTTGAGGGGGGCATTGGGATTTTCGGTTTTGCGGTTTTGGCTATTTTTTAGATCGGTTTTTCGGTTTTTGTTGCAAAAGACTTCGGTTTTTCGGTTTTGGTGGTCATTGCGGTTTGCGGATTTTTCGTTTTTTAGCATCTGGTTTTCGGTTTTCGTGAAAAATACTAGCGGTTTTTCGGTTTTGGTACCCGATGTGGTTTTTGGTTTTTGGAAGGGCAGTGAGGTTCAATAATCGACTGCTTTTTTGAGTATCTGTTTATTACCACATTAAACCTTAGAGCAAGTTCCTGCTGCCATGTAAAACTGAAAAGGAACTAATTGTACCGGTTAGCTTCCTCAGTGTCGACTCAGCTCAGTGCAATCGCATGTTAGACAATCGAGTCTCCAAACTTTCAGGTGTTAGTTATCAAATGGAAATGTTCGATTAGAGATTTTCGATTGAAGTTTCCAGAGCTATAGCTTTTTGCGACTGCAAAATTGCAATTCTAAAGAGGACTTGTGTGCAAATTCTCCTAAGTTAACTAGGCTCCATAACTAGCGGCTTTTCGGAAATTGAGCCGCAAAGTCTGGGCTCGAGAGAGCGGCAGAAACAAAGCCTATGATTTAGCAGACACAAGAAGATACGAAGGCTTCAGACAAAGTCCATGACATTCACAAATACTTTGGTGAAATTAGTGTTAGTTTAGTTTGCTCTGTATGCCCCACTTGTCACCACTGTATCGGTTTTTGACGGTTTTGTATGCGGTTTTCGGTTTTGGCCGAATTTTTTTGCGGTTTTGCGGTTTTGGATGATTTTTTTCTTCGGTTTTGCGGTTTCTAATATACCCCAATGCCCCCCTCCTTCTTGTACTCTCTGTTTGAAGGCCAAGGTATAAATATATGATCGAGTGAGTATGAGATTTCAGTTTGCTTTGAAATAATTAATAAATAACGGGAAACTTTGAAAGTATTATATATCAAAGTCAGAAAGAGGGCAAAAAGAAAAAGCTGGGTGGTGTAGGACGAATGACGAGTGACGTGATAAATAGAGGGCCGAGTTTCCAAATTTTCATGGGCAAAAAGTTCTGTGTACAGTAAAGTGTCTTAAAAAGTTTACTAGATTTTGTTAACCATAGTGCATGTAATAAAGAAAACTAACTAAAGAGGAGAGAGATCAAAACTCTGTCAATAAATCTTCCATACTGAATGTGCCAAGAGTGGCGAAACGATTTACCGATATAACAACAACAACAACACATAATAATTATTATTATCATTACAATAAAAATAATAAGAATAATGCTAATAAGAATAATAATGATAAGGAGAACAACACAGCCTATACTATTTGTTGAGAGAGAAGAAAACTAGTAGTTTATACTGTTGAGAATATGTATTACAATACTTGTAATTGGTTCACATCAATAAAGTTCACGTGAAAAAGTTAAAATGTTTTGAAGAATGGTAAAAATATACCATTTAATCAGGGTTTTTTTTAATTTGTCGAGTCCAGAAATTACTGAATAAGATCACAACATTTGAAAGTTTCAGACTGGGGGAGAAAGAGCTCTCCTCACAGCGCAACCGATTGGAACAAATGATCGATAGCTAAATGACATCATAATACTAAAATACCATATTACGGAACCAGAAAGCAGTCATAATATGGCTCCAATATCAAGCAAAGAGCTCTTGCTCTGAGATTAAAAACTTAGAATCATAATGTTTGACGAAACAATTAAGTATAAGGCCCAGGGTTGAACCTAAGTACACAGTTTCCTCATGTCCCTGTTCAACGTCTTGCAAGCAACTCTCGGTACGTGGGTTTACAATAAAGTTGAAACCTTGTACGAGACCGTACTTAATAGGGCCATTTATACGAGGAAAAGTAAGACGCGTCTTGCATAGGACGCGTCTTAAATAAGACGCGAACTTTCCGTATAAACGGCACATTTCATCTAAAATAAGACGCCTCTTAGCTAAGACGCGTCTTATTTTAGAACAGCCCTTAACACCAGTTCTTAGATAAGACGCGTCTTTATAGCTAAGACGAGAAAAACTTCGTATAAATGACCTTCGAGTCTTAAATAAGACGCGAACGCATAGTACGCATGCGTTGATTTTTGGCGCGCTACTTTGGATTGGAGTTGCTACGGGCAACATTCACATGAAAACGAGTCAAGAACAGAAATAAGACGCGAACCATTTATACGAGCTGTTCTCGTCTTAGATAAGACATGCTCGTATAAATGGTACAGTTCGCGTCTTATTTAAGACGCGTCTTATGTAAGACGCGTCTTATTTTTCCGCGTATAAATGGCCCTAATGTTTCTATAGGCATTTAGAAAGAGCGAGTCCAAAAAGTAATTATTGTAACAAACGATGTATAACAGAAGAAAAGTAACAACGTGAAAATGAAAAAAACAAATGACAAAAATCGTATATTTTCCACTATTCTTAAACTAACATGTGTTCTCTCCGACACGTTAATTTTCCTGTTCGGTGGTTACGAGAGTTCTTTCATAATCATGAAAGTTCTTCCACAATTTCTGTTTCAAGGGAGGGAGGGAAGAAAGGTATGCTCTTGTCATTTAGCAACTTTTAACCTCAAAGAAAAATACAATACATGCACACTTCATACACACTGAAGTTTTTTTTTTATTTTGGCCTACAATGTAACTTCTAGGTTTAACACCCTAGCAAGTAGCGTTTTTTTAATGGGTAATAAATTTTCTATCTAGACTCCTCCCTGTGACTCGTCATAGATCGTTGTTTATCAAAAGGTCTGCCCCATATTTTTTGTTTGGGTCCAGTAAATACATTGGATTGGTCTCCGACTTGAAAGTCGATTTTTCCTATAAACCATCGTTTAACTCTTTCTTTGTGTATGACTTTGTATTAGCGATTGATTACAACCAGCTGCTGTTAATAGAGCATTTTCGTGTGACCTTGAAACGAAAACGAATTTATTATAATTAAAATTTTTTCGTTTTTTTATAGTTTTTACTTGAGTTCAGCAAACAAGAAAAAAAAAACAAAAAACCTTATTGAGTTATCTCCAAAATTGAACATTACAGTTGGACAGATTGTGAAAACTAAAGTCCGGGTAAATTTAAAACATAATAAAATAATTTTTAATCATTTTTTATCTTGTATAGTAATACTACTTTGCAATGACGAATAAGTATGCCAAAAGAATATAATGCACTGCCCTTGAAAAACTAACAAAGAGGTTGCAAGAACACAAATAAGTAGCCAAGCAAATATTTTTGTTTGACGATAACAACTTTTTGTAATGAAATGGTCACTGAAAACTACCCATGCAAGACATACTAAGGAACTTAAAAGAAACTAAACATTCACAAGTCTTACATTGAAACAAGACATTGCTATATATATATCTTACAGAAACAACATAAAACATTTATATAACATACAAATTCAAAAGAATATTGCAAACAAGAAAATTATACATAATTATGCACAAATGAAATGCAAATGGCCTGTAACAGCCATTAAACCATTGAAAAACAAACTTTTAGTGTGACCAGCAACCCTAGCACACTTGTATACTTCATGTCCAGTATGATTTAATTTCATTCTTGGTTAAATTTATTAACTGCAGCCAGGCTTAAAGGGAACCTCCACTCTTACTACAGAATAAGTTTAATTTAAATCGATTAAAATTATGTTGATAAACAAATTTGTTCGAAATTTGTCCTTAAAAAAAGTGTTTATATCAGGAAAAGTGAATTTTAAAATCGCTTATTTTCACTTTCAAATTTCGCGGGCGCCGCCATCTTGAATAATTGTGACGTGTTACGGTTGCTCTATAGTTCTGACACAAAGAGCTTTTGTTTAATAACAATAGGGCAACCGTAACACTTCACAATTATTCAAGATGGCGACGCCCGCAAAATTTGAAAACAAAAATAGGCGAATCTAAAAGTTATTTCTTTCGGATACAAACGCTTTCTTTAAAAATATTTTAGATTGACTTGACTGTAACAGTTATTTCCTGTGATTTAAAGTTATCTTTTTGTTGAAGTGGAGGTTCCCTTTTAATCAAACTTGATGCAAAATTACTTTCCTGTTTCCTTGTCTACAATATATAATATTAAGAGGGAGAATATAACGCTAGAAATATTATACAGTAGTACAATCAAAAGATAAGGCACCTCCAGGAAATCGAGTTGGTCCCTACTATTCTTCAGTCATTTTCTTTTAGTATATGCTAAAACAGTGGATAGTGTTTTTCGCGCGCTCTGATTGGCTGCTCAATCTCGGAATATCCTGCACTATTCACTGATTCGCCTCCAGCCGAGCGGCGCCAAACTCTTGCAAGTTACATGTACGACAAAAATGGCTCAGTCTCGGTTTGCCACGGTAACTAGCGACGAAATTTCGAAAATAAATGAAGAGGCCATACCAGACAACACTAAAAAAGCGACTAAATTCGGTCTAGCAGTTTTCACAGGTAAAGCTTTGTCTGTTTAACCTGAATTTTATCGATGAAACCGGTGAAAAAGTTTTTTGTTTACAAATGCAAATTATGTCTTTCGTTACCTAATGTTAGCTGACATGTTTATAAATAAGCTTACTTTTTTTACAGAATGGTTTCAGATGCAAGAAGAGTTCAAAACTCCCTTTGAGGAGATGTCACCAATTCAGCTTAACAAATGCCTCCAAAAATTTTACTTGTCCGCACGAAAACGTGACGGCAGTTACTACAACAAAAAGTCGCTTATCGCAATCCGAGCCGCGTTAGATCGTCACTTAAAAAGTCCTCCGTTTTCAAAGCCATTTTCCATTGTTGGCGACAGTCATTTTAATGAAGCCAATAAATCCCTCAGCAATTTTCTGAAAACTCTGAGCAAAAAGTGGCCAAATAGCTCCGACAGTGCACAAACAAGCCCTAACAAAGGAAATTGTTGAGAAACTTTACGAAGAAGGCGAGCTTGTTGACATCGATTCTCTCCAACCACACAAAGTACAGCAGACGGCCTGGTTCTTCATCAGTTTATTCCTCGGAAAGAGAGGTCGAGAAAACCAGCACCGGCTTAAGAAACACATGCTTATCTCAAGGGAAGCGCCAAATGGTGAAAAATATCTGAAATAAACAAAGAGCGCGGAGCAGCGTTGGCGACTAAAACCATCAAGGTGGCCTAGATGATAAAGAAGATGAGTCAAACGGAAAAATATTTGAAAGACCAGGCTCAAAACGCTGCCCAGTGAAACTCATCGAGAAATACCTGTCACATCTGAGTCCCAAATGCAGCAGTTTATTCCAGAAACCAAGAAGCTCGTGCAAAGCGTTTAACCCAGCAACGGATCTTGTGTGGTACTGCTCGAGTCCACTTGGCCACAACACGCTTGAAAATATGCTACGAAGAATGACATCAAGAGCTGGAATAAAGCCACATCTAACAAACCACTCGATCAGAGCGACCACCGTGACGGTTTTGTCAGCTGCAAACATCGAGAGTCGGTACATCAGGGCAATAACCGGCCACCAAAGTGAAGAAAGCATCAAGAGCTATTGTGATACGCCGACATTCGAGCAGTTTAAAAGAATGTCAAACGAGCTAAGTGAATTCTTCGATCAAGGTGGTGGCGATGACAAGGCTGTTACAGTCCCTCAGAAAACCGTTGCGTCGTCATCGAGCCAGCCGCAATCAGTAGCTACGAGCACTGCAAATTATTCCTTCCAGTCCATTCAAGATGGATCACAGAATCTTGTCCATGGCTTCATTCCCGGAGCCACGTTCCATAACTGTAATCTCAACTTTAAGGTGAGCTTTGGAGGAAGCAGCAGCAAATAAAACTTTTAACAGACAACGAAAAGAACAATCTACAAAGATGGCGTAAAGCCAGGACTTTTCCTGTCGCATAGCTTGATCTTTCATTTACGGTTGTAAAGTCTTAAACACAAAATTATGAACATTTCATCATCAGATGTGTCATGTGACTATTTTGAGCTGCGCGCATGTTTGTTTAATTTGCGCGCCAAAGTTGTAAATAAACGAATTAAAAATCGTCATTTGAGATCATTTTAGGCTTATTATCAACCTCGTCCCCAGGGTCTTCTCGCTTTCCAATATGGCGGCGGCAGAAGAGAAGACCCTGGCACACAGCGAACTAAAACGGTCGCTGATTGGTGCATTTCACTACGCGTTCATACGTGCGCTCTCATTGGTTCATTCCTTCCAAAACAAAGATGGTTACCTTTTGAGGGCTTCGTAGAGGCTTAGAAGTGCTTTCTTCAGTGTTTGAGACCCAAAAGGTGGACAGAATTCAGATCTGATTGTTCGGAAAACTGTGACTGTACCGTTGGAAGGCAAAGATTCGAATATAGTGATATCTGAAATGGTAACGCTGGGAATATTACAACGCGTAGAGGTCTTTCTGTTGCTCGTGCTATTTGGTTTTTGTGTTCTAAATTACTAAAGATTTGCTTCTTTAATTCCCGATTTGTCAAAGAATACTTGCAACGCTTCAGCTTATCAATAAATTTAGCTGTCCGTTTGTAAAGGTTTAGTGTTGTTCTGCTTTTTGTTTTCTTTGAACAAAAGCTGTATGCATAATATTATTGATGTATGGGGTTATACGGAAATCTTGCATAATCTGCGCTTTGTCTCAGCAGTTTTTTTGTCTAGTGAAACATTTTTTTTCATTTGATCGTAACATGCATGGGCCTAACCTGGCCTTCTTTTAATTTTTTCCACTGTGATTTTGAAGGGGGATGAGCAGCGACAGAGGCAGATGTCGAAACAAAACTAAAAATTGAAGCCAAACATAGTGTCGCTATCCTTTGATATTTTTAATCCTGACTTTTCATTTATTCAGTTTTAGTGTCACAATAATGATAATTTATTATTATTTGCTCATTTCAGTGGCAGTAAAATACAGCTAAATACAGAGACATTGGGAAAATAAACTGTTTCCTTTTCTCAGAAATGAAAAACTTGCATATTAATGTATTGAAGCTTGTGGGATTTCTTTCTAGTTGCAAAAATAAAATAATGAAAGCACATGATGTCTTTTATTCTATCAAGTTGAAAACAGTGATCAGCCCGTGCAAGGAAATCTGACAGTCTTGGATTCTCAATTCTGCACCATGGATACTGCATTCTGGATTCTTTGTCAGTAGAACTTGGATTCCAGATTTCAATTATAAGTGGGATGCAGAATACTTGCCCTTTTTTCCAGATTCTACGAGAAAAATTTCCCAGATTCCAGATTCCCTTACATGGGGTGACAGTGACCCTAAGACAAATATGTTTTCTGTCAAACTAAAACCTGTCAATTGAGCTTCTAATTACTGTAGGCTAAGTGTGCATGTTGTTCTTGTCATTATATGCTTGAAAAGGGGGTTTGTGGACCAGGTGAAATAGTGGCTAGTACTGTACTATTCCAAAACCAGCTGGGTATGATTATGAAACAGCTATAATTCAGTTCTAAAACTTGGATTTACAAAAATAAACTGCTTCAATGGGTGCATATATCACTATCCACTGAATAAACAAGAGCGGAAAGGGCCTGTAGTTTCTTGATCATGGGATTTTTCATGTAGGGATGCCAAGGCTTTTGAAGTGTTTTGCACCAGAGTCCCCACTAGCATAGTGAGCTTTTAGTTGCCTAGTCACGGCCAATGAGTTTCGCGTCACCTGGTCCCAAGAGAAATTGTGAAACAATTTCCCTCCAGTTTGCCTAAGATAAGTCACTGAAATGAATTGACCAAGAAGGCTTGAGAAAATACCACACAGGGAAAAGGCAAGGCTTTTAGCTTGTTTAGGTGTTGGGCTGTGAGGTTGCAGCTGTTAGATGTGCTGGCTTAAATACTTCCAAAGTCTACTTTAAGGTGTTGGTTAGTCTTTGTCATAGTGTCTATATCATAATTATATCATCAGAAATAATCAGATTAACACAACTATTAAACTGATAATCGATTATAGTTTTGTGCCCCCTGTGCGCCATTTTCAACACTGAAAATAATTTTGTAAGTGAACAAAACAAAAAACCTACCCTGCAAGCAGAGGCTTATCTGTCACATAGTTAAACCAACTAAACATCATATAAACTACATTAAGAGCCCATCAAAAAGACAACACAGGTGTATTAATGTCCTTATTTGTCAACAATGTTTTTGTGAATTTTCCACAACAATCAATTGAACATTTGTATAAGCAATACTCACTTTGCTTTAGGTTTCTGATCAATGATAGATTATGATCGATAATCAGCACACCACTACCAGGTCATGTCTCGATTTAATAAGAGTACGAAAGGGCCCATCTGACGAGCAAAGCGTGTTTGACTTAAAAGATCTATTATCTCCAAATGAGATAGGAACTTTTACAGTGCACATGACTCAGATAGGACTATCAAATTTTTGAACAACTGGAGTCTAGCCTTTAGTCAATTTGCACATTGACATGGCAAAGTGCAGCCCCAAGTAATATGTAAAATAAACCAAAGTCAGGGATTAAGAAAGTTTTTGCTCTAAAAATCGAATCTATTTCAAAGTGGAGAATACTTTTGGAGTGCTATATTACAAACAATGGAAACACTCTTCACCTTTTCCTAGCTATTAAAGTGGGGTTAATGCCTTTCATTTTTTACATCTGAGAGGCAAAAAAACCAATAATAACAACATCTTAAATCCTCTATTAAGGCCCCCTCTCTCAAATAAGCCCTCCTTTTCAATGGAAAGTTTTAACAATAAGCCCCCGTCTCTTTTAACCCCCATCCCACATCCCCCCCTTTTCTTATTCTTCATAAAAGACTGTATCAATCAATGACGACTGTAAAACTTTGTGTGGACCGATCCAGGATGGTTTATTCACCAACTGGAAGTTCGGATTTGTTTTTGATCCTCGGCTGCTTGACCTCCAACCTTCTTGTACTTGGGCTTTTTCACTTGGCATTTTTTTTGTGGGGGACTAATACCAGCGTCTTTGCTCTAGATTAAATAAGGCCCCTATCTCTATTGCCCGGAAGCATTGTGAACAGGGTTAGATATCAAAAGCCAATAAGAAAGTCTAAAAACCGTGAAGTAGATCAATATTGACAATAATTTTATTACCTGTACCAGATCAAGTGACAAAATATCCAAACTGAACAAGGACCTGTTTAATTTTCAACCAAAGTTCCCTCAAATTATATTAACAAAATAGTGTTCTATGGCTCTTGTTTTCAAAAAAAATTGTTTTTTTGCGTATCAGAGTTCTGTTAAAATGTGTGCAAATAGAAAAACAATAGTCAAAAACCTCATGAAGATCTGTAACAAACTGACGATAACTTATCAGCTCAAAGTGTCTGCGACTCAATTTAATGCTTAGTTAAATTTCGGAGCGGAAGAAGTGTTAGAGCGTCATGACAAAAAATTCCCTGGCTTCAGAGGTCTGTTCTCGAAATTCCTAAGATCAAATAAATTGCGCTCACGGTTAAAAAGAGCTCCCCCTTTCACGAAAGAAGAAAACTGAACCTCTGGCACTCAGGGTAGGCAAAAAAAGAAAACAGTGAAGAAAGGTCGGTATCGAGAAATTAAGTTGTAGACAGTTGTTAAGTGCCGTGTACGCTAGAACGTTCAGGCTTAAAACTAAACCCAGGTCATTGAAGAGAAAATAAGATCGCTATATCATTCTACCGTATTCCTGTGGCTTGTAAGTGCATTCATTCATATTTTTAGCTTCTTTGAGTTTGCCTCTGCCGCCATTTTGTTTGTTTTTCACCAGATCTCAAGACCTCGTACCCAGATCCTCTCACTCTTTAGCTTGGCCGCCATTTTGAATAAATTTCCACTCTGCGTGGACAAATCAGTCACGTGATTTCTGCTGTGTGCCAGGGTCTTCTCTTCTGCCGCCGCCATATTGGAAAGCGAGAAGACCCTGGGGACGAGGTTGGCTTATTATCTCACTGTTTTAGCATATACTAAAACAATTATTCACCTCAGTGTCGGTGGCTAGTATTGGATATTTACCTCGCCGCTTTCGCGGCATCGGTAAATATCCAATACTAGCCACCTCCACTTCGGTGAATAATTGTTATCTAGCCGTAGGTTGATTTTTTTGTATTCGATTGCAGTTTAAGGCAGTCACTTTTTGACACCTGGTTGCTCATCGCATTGCCACGTCATGTACAAACAGGTGTTCTGAATATTTGCAATTGATGCTATGTTAAGGAGCGGATGATTTATTAAGTAACTAGGGTACTGTATCTTTAGGCCGCCTCACACTCTTTAAGTCACTCGTGAACGTGTAGTTTATCAAAAAATGTGTTTATGGGTCCAGCAAATACTAGTTTCATGTAACTTCCTTCCTTTTTAACTGACGAACTTCAACATTTATACGACCTATTGCGTTTCGCTTGAAAGAAAATTAATGCTAATTACTGTGTGATGATGACGTTACATTTACAGTTTTAAGTCTGGGTTCAGACATGCAAAGTTTCAATTTCAAGCAAGGTGAGAGTTTGGATATTGTGAGCACGACTTAGGGACGTTTTTTACTAACTCAACAGTACTCCGTTAAAAACCAATTGCCATCGGAGGAGGACGTCTGGAGAATATTCAGTAAGTCTCGCAAAGAGTAATTTCCAGCGTCAGTCTCGTGCAAAAAAGAAAACATTTGCATAGTTCCTCAAAAGTACAGCTGCTGAAACTTAAGACTGTATATAACGCTCCATTCAATGGTGGAAGCAGAAGGTCAGTCTCATTCAAAAACGGATGAAACCTTGACAGCAATGAAATTCTTTGCATACCATAGAAACTGAACCCGATTAGGGTTATGTAAAAAAAAAATGGCAAGTGCTGAAGGCTTGCATTTGACACTTGTTTTCTTCAACGCTTTCTTGTCTTTTACCGCCATCGTATTAAATATCATAACAATGCAAGCGCTCAGAAAAACGTCGTCGTTGCCTAAGACTTTAAAAACATTGTTACTAAGCTTGGCTGTGTCTGATCTGGGTGTAGGCTTACTTGTCCAACCAGTGTATGTTGCAATGCTTGTGATGGAAGTAAAACAAAACACAAACAGTACCGCTTATTATACAGTAACCTTAGCGCGTTTTATCCAGGGAAAAACATTGGTCTTTGCTTCGCATTTTGGTGTTTTTGCATTAGCTGTGGACAGATTCTTGGCCATTCAGCTTCATCTCAGATATCAAGAGCTTGTGACTCACAAACGTGTTGTTGCTGTTTTGATCTCAGTCTGGGTGTTTAGTGCATCAATTTCCTTCCCACGTCTTCCTATTACGCGAGCAGTCATTGTAGTTGTTTGTGTCATAACTACAGGATTGCTTTATTGCAAGATATACGCTTCCGTGAGACACCACACAAATCAGATTCACGCTCTGCAAGTACAACAGGCGACACAGAATGAAGATATGGTAAATGCCGCAAGGCTGAAAAAATCTTCACTGGCTACATTCTACGTTTATTTCGTGTACTTAGTTTGCTATTTGCCATTTTATTGTGTTCTTTCAGCCGAGACCAATGGTAAAAGTCCCTTGTTATCTCATTTATGGCATATCACATTGACTCTTGTACATCTCAATTCATCCCTCAATCCCTTAATCTACTGCTGGAAGATGAGGCACATTCGACAAACTGTTATGGACATACTTCGAAATATTTTCGCGATTTGTCCCCACTAAAGAAAGGATCTAACTGAGAATAACTTTATCGGCCTTTTTCTCTCTGAGTGGTGAAAATATTAGCTTTCCAGCAATACTATTGGAAAAATGACACTAAATATAAACGGGAACTGAAACTTCTTGTACTCTCTGTTTGAAGGCAAAGGGATAAATATTTCTTGATCGAGTGAGTATAAGTTCATGAGATTTCAGTTTGCTTTGGAATAATTAACAAATAACGGAAACTCTGAAAGTATTATTTATCAAAGTCCGAAAGAGGGCACAAAAAAAAGCTAGTTAGTTTAGGACGAATGACGAGTGACTTGATAAACAGAGGGCCGAGTTTCCAAATTTTCATGGGCAAAAAGTTCTGTGTACAGTAAAGTGAGATTACTAGATTTTGTTAAGGCCATAGTGCATGCAATGAAGAAAACTAACTAAAGAGGAGAGAGATCAAAACTATGTCAATAAATCTTGCATACTGAATGTACCAAGAGTGGCAAAAAGATTTACCGGTATAAAAACAACAACAACAATACATAATAATAATAATAATAATTATTGTTATTAATAAAAATAATAAGAATAATACTACTAAGAATAATAATGATAAGAAGAGCAACACGAGCCTATTTGTTGAGAAAGACGAAAACTAGCGAGTTTATACTGTTGAGAATATAGATGACAATACTTGTAATTGATTCATATCAATAAAGTTCACGTGAAAAAGTTAAAATGTTTTGAAGAATGGTAAAAATATACCATTTAATCAGGAAAGAGCTTTCCTGACAGCGCAACCGATTGGAACAAATGATCGATCGATAGCTAAATGACATCATAATACTAAAATACCATGATATGGAACCACAAAGCAGTCATAACATGGCTCCAATATCAAGCAAAGAGCTTCTTGCTCTGAGATTACTTAGAACCATAATGTTTGACGAAACAGTTAAGTATAAGGCCCAGGGTTGAACCTAAGTACACAGTTTCCTCATGTCCCAGTTCAACGTCTTGAAAGCAACTCTCGGTACGTGCGTTTACAATAAAGTTGATTACGTTCTAATTCGCTTCGCTCAAACGAACGTAAATCATTTTACCCTTAAATTCCCGTAATACAAACAAATCACACGAGAAATATGGTAGGATGCGCAAGCAGATCCAAAACAGTTTATTATAAGATAGATAGTTACTAATACAGAGCGGACTGCAGAAAAAAGAAATTACAAAGTTGTTGTTGTTGTTGTTTTACAATTTTTTTTTTTTTTTTTTTTTTTTTTACACACTACTGTTTAGAGAAATTAATATAAGCTCGATAATGCATTACAAACCTAAATACTTAGTTACTTGTAACCTGTTTTCAAGGCTTTCTTCAACATACATATCCTTGGCAGAATCAGATTTCCATCTACCATGTATTTTAAGAAGTCTTTCTGGAATCGAGTTACTACTATTACGCACCGCAGAAGTAATACCACCGGATCTTAAACTATGAAGACCATAATCATTAGGGTTGAGGCCCAGCTGACTTAAGGTATCCCTTAAGACATCTCTACAAGTAGTATAAGAAATCTTTCCACTTCTCAGAGTATAGCTAGAACTACTACGGTGAAAAACAAGCGGTCTAAATAAAGGGAGAGAACTACATAAGTCAATACCAGATAAATCTAAATACCGTTGTAAAACACCAACAGGACAGTACTTAGACCTGGATGCACTAATAAAGACGAAATTCCCTTCCCTATAAACATCTGTCTTACTACGAGGTACAAAGATTCTTATATAATCGCTGTGAAATTCGATATGCTTAGGAACAATATTGCATAATTCGTCGTAACGAAAAAATCCTGCAAAAGCTAAAGAGCATAACGCAGCGATACGAAGATTCTTCAAATTAGCATCTTTCTTGTCATGAATATCTAAAATACTCCTTATGATTTCTGTGGTAATAGGCTTCTTTTTCATTACTGGCTGTGAGTTCGGGCGTTAGCAGATTCGATAATATTCCTGCAAAATTCACTATCCAAAGGATTACGATCCAAACTAGTGACAAAAGAATGTAACCATTTAAGGGCAGCATGGGCTAAAATTACTGAGGAACTAGAGGTGCAAGACTGCTGAACTTCAAATAAATATAGGGAAAACGACACTAAGGGGAAAAGGTAACTGCATGTTGAAATGTCTACCTTTAGACCACTCCAAGAACTTTCTAATAACGCGAACGTAGGCTTTAGTAGTTGTATCCGCCCTGGACTTCAACATAACTTCTAAAACCTCATAAACGTTGATTGAAGAAAATTGTTGAAAGCCTTTCCAGGAATTACCCGATAAGATTACCTGGAAAGACAAGAACAAACATATATAATAAAATAACAAAAAAAGAGCCGTATAAAAATCGATCAATGTTGGGGCCAGTGCCACATAAGACGATAGACTATTGAATGGACCAGTGTCCCGTAAATCAAAAACCATTGATTGGGCCAGCGCCACATAAATCAACTATACGCTGTTAAAGACAGCGCCACATGAAATGACAAACTATAAATTAGGCCAGTGCCACATAGATAAACAACATATTGCTTTGGCCAGCGCCACCAAATGTGAATAATCATTAGGCTAATGGACACCATCCAATAAATTACTCAGTAAATTTCAATCTAAAGGCAATAATATTTCCTGTGAAAAGATCAGACCCTAAGAGCGAATTAAGGTTTCTTCCGCGGGTTAGAACCTCATTCCCGATATGAATACTGTGAGCCACAAGATAACTACTATACTTGTGTGTAATTAAAGGCCAAAAGTGAGCCGAAGGCCAAAGAGGTACAACGAGCGTACCAACGGCCCGCTGAGATTTCAAATAATGCAATACACGTGGGACGATACCAACTGGAGGGACTACTAGGCAATTTTCTCCTCGAAGAGACTGAAAGAAAAAATCGACACCCGAAGTATTGGGGTTCCAAAACCTCGAAAAATATTTTGGGAGCTTGTGATTATAATAATTAGCAAAACAATCAACACTATGCGGGCCCCACCGACCATCAAGAAAAAGAAAAAATTCTTCAGTAATTTGCCAATCATCAGTATCAATTAAACGACTTATATAATCAGCTTGCTGATTCGAAGTGCGAGGGATCCATTGCACTTCTAAATGAATCCCCCATCGAATACAAATATCAAAAATGCTTCGGGCCATCTTATGCAAACCTAATTTCATGCTGCCCACTACAACAATCTTAGCAGCTGCTTGGCTATCAGTAAACCACTTAACGTGTGATCCTTTCAACACTGAGGCAAAATGATTGCAATGAAAACTCAATAACAGACAACTCCCTCCACGTTGAACTTTGAACTCTCTCGTTCCCCGACCAAATTTTGTGGCACACAAAATCATTGTTAAAGTCAATAATTGCTCCACCTCCGGTAGCACTGGCATCCGAATATACAAAATAAATAGGATCTTTACTTACAAAGCAATACCTAGAGTTGATATTAACCATATTTTCCTTCCAAAAATACAGTTCTTCCTTACAGTAATCGTCGAGACGGAATACAGAATCCCAGTTATCTTTGCACAAGGTGGACAAGACACAATGTCTGGTCATTATCCTGCCAATGTTACCAACTACAGGCCCGGTAGAAATAATTGACCTGTGAAGGAGGCCAACTCTCGCGCAGACACTTTGAAATCGGCTTCAATAATATGATCAATTGTACTGATAATCTTAAGAATTCTTCTCTCTACAATTTTCAAAGTACCCAGTGCAGAATTCCAGGTTATACCCAACCAGTCCAATACTTGGGTGGGTTCCCATACCGATTTGTCTTCGTTAACGACAAAACCCGCGTTATACAAATCCCCCCTTACAGCTAGGGCCTTAATGCGACAACTTTCTCTATCCTGAACAATTGCTCAACCATCGTCCAAGAAGATGGCTATACAAAGACCCTGTATTCTCCAATACTTTTCTAAAGGCTTCAAAACCTTTGTGAAAACATAAGGGGCAGAGGAAAGACCGAACGGGAGCACAGTGAAAACATAAAATACTTCATTAACGGAATCAGACGACCGCCATGAAAACCCCAGAAAAGTTTGGTGCTCATGCGCAATGTCGATATGGTGATAACCGCTTTTTAAATCAAACGAAAACATGTGCGCGTCTTTCGCAAAATAAGCCATAGCAATTTTCCAGTCCTCGTACTTAACACTTTGCTTAATTAATGACTTATTGACATGGCACAAATCAAGAATTAACCTCTTTTTACCGCATGGCTGTATAGAAACTGACAAGGGATTTACAACAAAGGGCTGCTCATTAACGATACGCACCCGACCAGAGTTAACAAGCTCAAGAACGGCTTGGTCCACGAAATCAGCATGAAGTCGAGCTGACTTATTATTTCCTCGCTTTACGGCCAACGGAAAACTGATGAACGGCAGCCTGTATCCGTTTTCAATAATAGACAAAATAAAATCCGGAGCACCTATAGATCTCCAGAAACCTAAATTATTCTTCAGATTACCCTTAACACTTAATGAATGTCCACTTTCAAGTTCGTAATTCTGTGTCATTTGATCTACCTGCGCCAAGTAATCTTCATTGCTTTGGTTGAGTTGATTGGCCTGCGGTTGGCTTGTTGTACGAGATTCCAGGGCAAGAATTGTAGCTAGGGGACTGGTAACTTCCCGGCCAGAACATGGATCTACAGTCCTTGGCCCAGTGTCCAAATTTGCCGCATTTGAAACAGCGAAAGAAGTCGCCAGAAGCGTCTCTACGGCCTGAAAGATAACAGCAATGACGAAACCTGAAATAAACGGGAGGGGGGGTGGGGGGCGTAAACCAGAAAGATGAATAAACTGTATGGAACCGCGAGCGTGAATGGTACTCAAGAGACAACGGAGAGTATAAATACTAATAACTGGCCAATCAGGACATCAATGCAAAACAGAATGCACAATAGTGGGTGCGGCAGGTGTGAAACGAGAACAACTGCGACTAATTACTTGGAATAACAGCGGAAAATACATTTACGTTCTAATTCGCTTCGCTCAAACGAACGTAAATCTAAATTCCCGTAATACAAACAAATCACACGAGAAATATGGTAGGATGCGCAAGCAGATCCAAAACACATATGAATATACAAAGTAAAGAGGAGGCTCCTTTTTCTTACCACGAAAAAGCTGATTATCAGCGCCCAAAGCAATTTTTGGTTTCTTTCCACGATCGCTGGAGAGTTGTTCCTTTTGACGTCTCTTGCGGCTCGCCGCTTCTCTTGCCTTCTTAAGACGCTTTTCATCTTCAGAGCCGGATGCAAGCTCGTCCGACTCGTACTCGGCTACAACCTGCCAGCCGTCCCTACTTTTATCAGCGATTTTTATCAGCTTCTGTCGCTTTCGAATACGTTGCCTGCCTTCTTGGGAAAGTTTCTTGATCTGCGACAAATTTGGCTCGATGCTTTCACTTTCAGTTTCAATGCTTTCAAAAATGGCATCTAATTCGGCATTAAGCTCAAATTGTTTCTGGTTACCTTTGAACTTTAGCTGTACAACTTCTTTATCTAACTTACTCCTTTGTTCGATTTGCTTTCCTTTATCTTCTAATTTTTTCTCAAGAAAATCCTTAAACTTGGAAAAGACTTGATCAACGGCCGCTGAGTTGCCTCCACTATCACCTGAAGTTTGGCCAGCCTCAGCCCGCACGGACGAACCTTCGCTCTCTTTTTGATCGTTGGGCATCACACGAATAGGAAAAACACAAACCAGAAAGATGAATAAACTGTATGGAACCGCGAGCGTGAATGGTACTCAAGAGACAACGGAGAGTATAAATACTAATAACTGGCCAATCAGGACATCAATGCAAAACAGAATGCACAATAGTGGGTGCGGCAGGTGTGAAACGAGAACAACTGCGACTAATTACTTGGAATAACAGCGGAAAATACATAACTTTTGTACGAGACCGTACTTAATGTTTCCATAGATATTTAGAAAGAGCGAGTCCAAAAAAGTAATAATTGTAACCAATGATACAGTATGTTGCCCAGTATCCGGACGGTACCAGTATCCGGACACTTGAAACAAAAACTCAATTTTTGAGGCGCCCTTTTCAGTTTTCGGTAAACGAAGTATTTCGAATGAAAGCTGAACATTTCAGCTTTAAGATGAAAGTTTTGGCGATTTGAAAGCTTGCGAAACAGTCGCAGAAGACGCCGTTCTGTTCAGGTGAGTAAACTTTTCATGGCTAATATTTACGCTGTTTACTGCGCAGTAAAATTAGTGCTGCTCAGAAAAGGGAGGCTGATGTGTGATATTTTCAAAGAGACCGTTTTATTTTTAAAGTGGAGATACTTAAGGAAGTCAGATTTCCAGAAAGTTTATTAATTCTTCTTCAAATTCGATTTGTTTGGAATAACGGAGGCCAGAAACATTCACTAAGTTTTGATGTCAGGTGCCCAGTATCCGGACAGTTTTTCATTTGCCGTACAGAATCGATGAATTAGCCGTGTACATTATCCGGATAAGATTTATTTCATATCAGTAACTATAGTTAAAGCTTAGGATATATGATATAGTCGTAAAATGTAATTCTACTCAACTCCGTATGGAAATTTTCTTCACTCATTCAGAGGCGACTTGATTTCGTGTGCACGGCTTGTTTCGCGTGACTGCATTTTCTAGCGTTTTCTATATATAACCGAAAGCGTCTGAGTTGAACCTGGAATTCTCATACTCTCCCCAGTTGCCACTGCTAGAATGGGGTTGCAACGGTCTGAAAAATGTCACAAAGGGATTGAGAGATGTGAAAGAAGGAGGAATTAGTGCTAGAAAAGCAGGCTTATTGTTAGGTCTGAGCATAAAGAAATCAACACTGCAGGTCAGACTAAATAGGAGAGTGACCTTTGACCGTCGGATTGATGTCCCTTCCCCAAGCTTTTTTTTTTTAAATAAAAAATGAAGCTGAAAAGTCGTTTGCAGATTAGCTAATTGAGCTTGCAAACTGCGGCTTTGGCATGTCCACGGATGCCTTCCTTAAACCAGTGAAAAAATTCCTAGACAAGGAAGTGAGAATTATACCATTTTTGAAACAGCCGCTCGCGTTCCCCACCATACCCCAGTCATTTGTTATGTTTTATTTCACGATGGTAGGTTATATTTTTGGAATCGATTGTCAGACTACTTTGCAAGTGCAAGAGAAGCTTATGAGTCGCTTGCCTGTCGAAATTTATGTACAATTACTTTGTTATTGTTGTGTCCGGATACTGGGTCAGCTGTCCGGATACTGGGCAACATAGGAGCTCTGCAAAAACATTAATTTCGCGATGGAAAAAAAGGCAAAAAAGTTAAACTGTCTTTCGTCGTGTTAAGGACTAAATAGATTTTCTCTGGGCCAAATTTCAGAGCTCTTGCGATTAACAAAGGAAAGTTATTGCAATCTTAAACTGAAGTGTCCGGATACTGGGCAACATACTGTATATAACAGAACAACGGTAACAACGTGAAAATGAAAAAAAAAAAATGACAAAATCGTATATTTTCCACTGTTCTTAAACTAAAATGTGTTTTCTCCGACACGTTAATTTTCCTTTTCGGTGGTTACGAGCGCTCTTTCATAATCATGAAAGTTCGCCCACAATTTCTGTTTCAAGGGAGGGTAGGGAAGAAAAGTATGCTCTTGTCATTTAGCAAATTTTAACCGCAAAGAAAAACACGATACAACACGCACACGTCATACACACTGAAGTTTCTTTTTTTTTTTGTCTCACAATGTAACTTCTGGGTCCACCACTAAATGTGCCAGCCAATAAAGACAATAAAGTCGAACGTTTTTACTACTTACATTTATCATTTGTCAGGGAGAGGGTGGGGCTAATTATTGTCACATCAGTTTTATCCAAAAAACCATTTTACCACTTCCTTCCGTATACGTGTATAAGAAGACATTTTACAAGGAAATAAGCGAGTTTTTTTGTTTATTTGGTACGCATTAAATTGCGCAAAATGATATTGTTTTCGATACATTTTCAATAAAATGAAATTGAGAAATAGTTGATTGTCATTCAAGGCATATATTGCTTTTTGCAACATGATTACTCATCGAATTGCCACGTCGTGTTGGCCGGTGTCATAAAGTTGAGGCTTTAATGGATATTTTAAACATTCTGATCATTTGCTACTGATTAAACTTTGACACACAAGACAGTCCAAGACAGCATGATTTGTTTAAGTAACTACCTATTGTGTCTTTGTTTAACACCCTAGCTAGCAAGTTTTCTTAATGGATAATAAGTTCCTTATCTTAACTCCTCCCTGTGACTCGTCATAGATCGTTGTTTATCGAAAGGTCTGCCCCATATTGTTTGCATGGGTCCAGTAAATACATTGGATTTAGACTGCAAAACAGTCCGTATTTTTGCGTATTCAAGTACGCGCGAGCAGTCAAACAAAAGGTCTGGAACAAGGCTGAAAACAGAGAGCGAGACTGGGGAGAGACGGTTTTTTTTCTCTCGCCTCACAAGCCCGAAAGGGTGTGTGTGACTGGCGCGCTTCGAGCGCGTAAGACTCTTACGCCACGCTTTTCCGATTTCTTTACTAATTCTGAGAAAAAAACCCGGCTGTTCTGCAATCTACATTGGATTGGTTTTCGACGTGATAGTCGGTTTTCCCTATAAACCATCGTTAAACTCTGTCTTTGTGTATGACTTTGTATTAGCGATTGATTGCAACCAGCTGCTGTTAATAGAGCGATTTTCGTATGACCTTGAAACGAAAACGCGCGAACAAAACAGAAACAACAAACGAACCGAAATAGAGCGATTTGTTTGGTTTATTGAACGAATGCAAACCCGCGTGGCATTTGTTTGGTTAAGCGAACGCTTGGGTGAAAAAACTTCACGCCCGAGAACTTTCTTGAAATCAATCAATACTTCGGTTTGACGTCATACTTCAACACGATTGGCTAATCGGGCAATGCCTTCTCCATATTAGGGTTTTCTTTGGCGGGAAAACGAAGAGGTCATGTTTTGATCCTTTCATCCATTGGCTGATAAAACAAATAACGAACACTTCCCAAAACCATTTTTCAAGGTCATACGAAAATCGCTCTACTTGAATATTGCTTCAGTAGTTTCAATCTCTTCCTTTTTGACCTACGAACTTCAACACTTTTTTTTTTTTTTTTTTTTTTTTTTTTTAAAAAGGTGTTTTTTTATTTTTATTATAAGCAATGCCCAAACTTGACGAGAGAGACGAACTTCAACGAACGAACTTCAACACTTAATTCGCCCTATCGCGTTTCGGTTTAAATAAAAATATATTCAAATTACTGTGTGATGAGGACGTCATATTTAAATTCTGAATTACGGGCTCTAGCAGGAGGCCTGGGCTCTAGTAAGAAATAGTTTTAATTCCAAACAAGTGAATATTTCGGATGCTATGAGTACAACTTTATGTTTTAATGGAGGCAGAAAATATCGTCTTGTTTATTAAATGCGCATTAAATTGCGAGCAATGATGAACTTCCTTTATATTAAACTAAAAAAACTGGAGATAATATGATTCGCGTTTTGATAGCTGCCTCGGATGAATTTAATACCACCATCCATTAACTTAATAAAGCATAGTATATTTTTCTTGAATACTTTTTTAATAAAATGAAATTGAAACATAGTTTCCGAGTTGATTGTAGCTTAAGACATATATTGCTTTTTTGGGACATGATAACTCATTGAATTGCCACCTGGTGTTGGCTGGTTTCATTAAGATAAGACTACAATCCAACTTGTTTGCTGAACTCAAGTAAAAACTATAAAAAACGAACAAATTTTAATTAAATACGACTTACGACGAGTCTTAAGACTGAGGGTTCAGAAGAAAAACTTATTACCTATAAAAAACCTTACTAGCTAGGGTTTTAAAACAAAGACACAGTGGGTAGTTACTTGATAAATCATTCGGTCATATGTGCCAGACTTGATCATTTGCAAACGATCAGAACGTTTAAAACATCCATTGTAGTGCCCGACCTAATAGTCTGCTTTTCCTATAAACTATCACTAAACTCTTTCTGTCTGATTGTTTATTTGCGATCCTCTGCAAACCAACTGCCTTTTCTAACATAGTATATTTTTTTAAATACTTTTTTAATAAAATGAAATTGAAACATACTTTCCGAGTTGATTGTAGCTTAAAACATATATTGCTTTTTTGGAACATGTTTACTCATTGAATTGCCACCTGGTGTTGGCTGGTTTTATTAAGATGAGACTACAAGGAATGTTTTAAACGTTCTGATAGTTTGCAAATGATCAAGTTTGACACATATAACCTGAGATCAGGCGTTATTATTATTTTTTATTATTATTTTTTTTTTGCTCAGTTGCTTCTTCGGCGCGAGAGGGAAAAAATAGCGCCTGACCCATTCATTTAACAAGCCATCAACCGCCCCCTAATTTACATAGTCTAACGTCCGCTTGCCTGTCATGTTATTAGCTAATGAGCGGTTACCAGAGGGGAATCAAATTTTGGTGGGAATAATATCTCTTTCGTCGAAATCAATTTTAGGGAAGAGAAAATTTTTAAATACGTGCAGATGGCGCTTTCTAAAAAAAATTTGAATGTTTTTTTTGTGATGAAATACTGCTGGCTGGAGCTGCCTTACCTTTATTTAACAGCTACAAATAATAAAGAATTTACAAGCTCGTTGACGTCGTTCTGTGGCGACAGCAGTGAAAAAAATTAGGCTGTGTCTTTGTTTTTTTATAGGTAATAAGTTTTTTTTTTCTGAACCCCCAGTACTAAGACTTGTCGTAAGTCGTATTTAATTACAATTTGTTCGTTTTTATAGTTTTTACTTGAGTTCAGAAAACAAGTTGGATTGGTGTCCGACCTAATAGTCTGCTTTTCCTATAAACTATCACTAAACTCTATCTGTTTGACTGTTTATGTGCGATCCTTTGCAAATCAACTGCCTTTTCTAATTTGATATTGCGTCAGTAGTTCAAATAACTTTCCTCCATTTGACTGACAAACTCTCAACACCTACAAAGCTCGACCTTTCGCGTTTCTGTTAAAAGAGAGATATATCCAAATTTCCGTGCAATGAGGAGAACTCCGAGCATTGTACAGACAGTTTTAATTTGAAATTTTAGATGTTATGAGTGCATTTCACTCAGGGACTCTCTTATACCATCGGCTGTATTTATACTAGTCGAGAGGGCGTCTAAGACGTCTGAGACGTTTAAGACGTTGCTTCTTAGCCTGTGTATTTCTGATCTAGGTGTAGGTTTTCTTATCCAGCCACTTTATGTTGCATATCTTACGATGGAAATAACAAAAAAACAGTAAAAATATTGACAACATTATTGCTTATTGGGCTGTTGTTAAAGCATATGCCATCCCTCACAGTTTATTTGTTTTTGCCTCATTTTTTGGTGTTTTCGTGATAGCTGTTGACAGATTCTTGGCCATTCATCTTCACAATCTCAGATACCAGAAACTTGTGACTCACAAACGGTTTGTTGCTGTAGTGATCTCAGTCTGGGTGTTCAGTGTAATTGCTTGCTTCTGGTATGAATCGATAAGTGTTTTGTCCGTGATGTCAGTTGTTTGTATCATAACTACAGGATTGCTTTATTGCAAGATATACGCAGCCGTTAGACACCACACCAGGGCGTAAGAAGCTAGGGCGTTGAAACGAGCGGGGTCGAGCGATCTAGCTGTGATGCAAGGGTTTGGGTACTACCAAAGAGACAAAACAAGATGGCGGACATTATACTGGATCGTCAGAGTAGAGAGATTATCTAGCGAACGTTAGCCATTATCCCGTGGCATTCATCTACTGCGCGCAATAGCGAAGGAACAAATTATTTTTTTCTCACGTTCGTGTTCTGTTTTTTTCAATTTTTCCCCCGCGAACAAATATCTGTATTGAATATAGTCCCACCTCCGTGACCCGTATTACTGAAAATTTCGTGACTTGGTAAGAAAATGGCATCACAACTCAGATAATAGCACTGACATCATTTTTAGACTAATATTATCGGTTCTCTACTTCAGTTTAATATCAAGTTGTGTAATTCATCATCTGCTATGGCATTAATTTTTTGCTGCCCAGTTTCAAGGCCAGATGATCTGTTTTCACTATTAAAGTTTGGGTTTGTTGGTGCACATCAGTATTCTTCTCTAAAAACCTTATTGAGCTATCTCCAATATTGAACATTACGGTTGGACAGATTGTGAAACTAACGTCCGGGTAAATTTAAGATATAATAAAATCATTTTTAATCATTTTTTATCTTGTACACTATAATACTGCTTTGCAATGACGAATAAGTATGTGAAAAAAATATAATGCACTGCCCTTGAAAAACTAACAAAGAGGTTGCAAGAACACAAATAAGTAGCCCAGCAAATATTTTTGTTTGATAATGACAGCTTTTCGTAATGAAATGGTCACTGAAAACTACCCATGCAAGACATACTAAGGAACTTAAAAGAAACTAAACATTCACAAGTCTTACATTGAAACCAGACATTGCTATATATATATCTTACAGAAACAACATAAAACATTTATATAACATACAAATTCAAAAGTATATTGTAAAACAAGAAAATTATACAGAATTATGCACAAATGAAATACAAATGGCCTGTAACAGCTATTAAACCATTGAAAAACAAACTTTTTAGTGTGACCAGCAACCCTAGCACACTTGAATACTGCATGTCCATTATGATTTAATTTCATTCTTGGTTAATTTATTAACTGCAGCCAGGCTTAATCAAACTTGATTCAAAAAATACTTTCCTGTTTCCTTGTCTACAATATATAATATTAAGAGGGAGAATATAATGCTAGAAATATTATACAGTAGTACAATCAAAAGATAAGGCACCTCCAGGTAATCGAGTTGGTCCCTACTATTCTTCAATCATTTTCTTTTACTCTCTATAAGAGTTACACCTGTCCATTAATACAGACATTTTGTGCCAGTCCCAATAGTTTCCATCTGAGAACTGACTGTAGTTTGTGTAACACCACACTTAAGCCTCTGACGACAAAAATACAATGTTACACAGCAGTCTTAATTTATTCTACTTGCAATCAAATTAAGACCTCTTCATGTTCTTCTTCATATTCACGGTATTATGAACTCGTTTATCTTTCAGTGTGTGTTCTGACTAGTAGTCTTTTCAGGCAGGCACTCACTGTTGTCCTGCAGAAAATCATTACAATGACAAATAAACACATTATATGATTTAATTTTATAGTCGAATCTTTGTGGGGATTTAAAAGCAAATTTCTCCATAGGCTTCATTCTGTTTCTGTGCAATACAACCTTTAGATTTATACCGCAGTGAAGCAGAATTTGTTGTTGTTCATGCACAGACTGTCACACGAGATCGAATGCACCTTTAGATTTATACCGCAGAAGCAGAATTTGTTGTTGTTCATGCACAGACTGTCATACGAGATCGAATGCAATTTTCTAGTAGAACTTTAAAAATAGTCAGAACCTTCTTGGATCGCGGTTCTGTAACTAAAAAAAATTATTTACCATCTTAGTGTATATTAAAAAAAAAGAAAAATCGCTAAATTGGGCAACTGAAATCTTTTATTTTACTAACAAGCTAAACGCCGACTTACAAAACAAAAACCTTGTCATCGCCATTATGAAGTCGTCACTTCAGAAGTAAAAAACCTTAAAGGTTCATAAAAGTTCACTCTAAAAATTTGCATGCACAAATAAAATTTATAAAACGATTACATGTTTTTTTGTAGCCGTTTATTATCATTTGGTTTTGACTGGCAGGATAAAACGCGACCTTCAACCTGTAATATTCGATGGGCCATTTTGACACTACATAAACATAAAAAGCGAGAAAACACCTTAACTTACAAGACTTACTGTAAAATATCAACTAAATACTTTCTGTATATCACATAGAAATACGCCAAATATCAAATCTAATTATAGATTGCAGCGATCTAAAGATATAAAGCAATAAATCCGAACCTACTCCCAGCTAGACGGCGTCATTTTTCTTGCCCTGACAGCGGATCGAGAGCGGAAAGCCCAACCAGTTCCAGTCCTACTCCGCATCATAGCTGAACCAGAGAGCGCGTATGATCGTTTCAACGCCCTAGCTTCTTACGCCCTGCACCACACAAACCAGATTCGCGCTCTGCAAGTACCTGAACAAGTAGCTCAGAATGGAGACATGGCAAATGCCGCAAGGCTGAGAAAAACTGCCGTTGCTACATTTTACATGTATATCTTATTTTTAATTTTCATATTTATAGTTTGTTCAAAAAATATATAAACTCGAGTAATGCTAAGCTGCGACAGCAACGCCGGAGAAGGGTGAGAAACAACAATAGGTCCAATTAGCAAAAAAGCAACCTTGCACGTGCAGCACACTTTTTGTACATTTCTTTGCCGTTTTTTTGCACGACTACAACGTGAAACTTCCACAAACTTTTTAGTTACTACCCTGCGAACAGTGGTTTCTCCAGGCCGGACGCTACGCTTCGATGGGAAAGAAACCACTGCGAGCAACCGTTTGCTTTTCCATCGAGCATGCGCGTCCACGTGATGACTACTAATAGCCAACGAGAAGACGGCGACGAGAACTTCAACAAAACAATAGGTTTAATAAGCAAAACAACAACTTTGCACGTGCATCACGGTTTTATTTTTGCATTTCTTTGCCATTTTTGCACGACTACGACGTGAAGATGCCTAATTTTGCGTTTTATGGATAACGTAAACAAGCAAGGACGAAATTTATTCTCCTTTTTGCTCTTGAACTTGGATATGGTCCCTTGGAATTCAACTCCATTTGGGTTCGCCTACATTTGACAAAGTAAGTAGATGGGAATAAATAATCCAAAGAAATACAGAATATTCACAGCAGGCTCGCGTTAAGGCAGCAGTTGTAAGCGTAAGCAAATGCGCGAGAGCCTAAACTTGCTTTCAAACAGGATTTACATGTTTAAAGTTAATTTATTCGTCCATAGCGCTGGACGGCGGCTCGATCAAAAAAGCAGACGGTTGCTCGCAGTGGTTTCTCTCCCTTCGTAGCGTAGCGTCCGGCATGGAGAAACAACTGCTTGCAGGGTACTTAGTTACACGCTTTATGGAGGAAATGTCGCACATGTTCTCGCTCACTTTCACCTTGCATTGGTGGCCGCTAGCATTTCTTATTTTCTCACCGCAGCTGCAAAATCGTCATGTTGTTCTTGTAACAAAAACATGTCTCCTTTGTTGTTTATCTCTCGCTCTAGATCTCTGTCGCCCTTTTTCTTGTTGAGCTTCTCTGGCATGTCGCCTACTTTCTCTTTTTCTCTGTCTTTCTCTTGCTCTATTTTCCAATTTTTTGGGAATGACAGTTCAATTAGTCTAAGCTTTTAAGCTCAGATTAATTGTCATGTCCAAAAATGTGGAGACGTATTACAATACTTCAGACAACACGGATACAGAAACAATTTCTGCTTTCCGTTTTCGTCTTTATTGACTCTTTAGTTGTCTCTGCTTTAAAAGACTCGGGTGGCTATGCGATTTCCCGCCCAAATAACCTCGAGTTGCATTTGGGTTGCCATACCTGTTGATTGACTTATTTTCCATTGGTATGCCTGTGGTGCGGACAAACGGTCGGTTGCTCGGTCGGGCGGTGTACGGTCAAGTGATTAGCAAATTTTCTAGAATGGGTCGATTTACTTTGCTATGTGGCTCCGCAAGCGCGCGCTTCGCGCGCGCGTAGAGCTCCGCTACGAACAGAGTTAATTTACACGTTCGGGGATGGTTCAAACTTTGGAGAAAGCATCCTAAATATACAGGTAGCTACAACTGCATTAATACAGGTTTCATTGTATTTCTCTGACGCACAGATAACCAAATTTTGTTACCCACGGTGCACCGCTGCGCGCGCGAGAGCTCTGCCAAAAATGTTTGTGGTGATCCAAGACGTTCAAAACGCCAAAATAGATTTGTATCACGCGGTAGCCATTTTGTCTCAGGAGATTTAAAAAGCTTTGTTTATGCACAGCTAGCCTCGTAGAGAGAACGAGGCTTTGCAACAAAGCTTTTTAAATCTCCTGAAACAAAAATGGTCGCAGTGTGACAAAGGTCTATTGCCTAATTCCTTTGTATCGCGTATCGTCTGTCTGGCCTGGGTGTTAATTAGTCCTTCTAATGACCTGTGCGGGGAGGCTCAGGTATATGAAAGGGTAAGGATTTCACTAGTTGAAGTAAATGAAACTGTAGGGAAATTTGTCATTTTGGTCCCTAACAAGGCCCAAAAGAGCTGAAAGATGCATTATGTCTGTGAGAGAGTCGGCGCGAGAAAGCTTTCTGGCTTTCTGATTTGTTCACATTTAAAAGACAGTGCATTTACAGCAGTTCGAAGGGATACAAAGTTCTAAACTTGGTATGTGAAAGGGGTACCATTTATCAATAGAAGACAGACGAAAGGGATACTGGTAAAGTGACAAACCCAATAATTGACCACAAATGAAGTCAAAATTGGCCATAAATGCAATAGAAACCTAAAATGCTATCAAAACCGTATATTTCTCGAAAGAGTGCCGCTTTAAATTAAAGTCGGACACGAATAAGTTCCGCGGCACCCTTTCGAAAAACACAATTCTATTGCCGTGATTTAATCCAAACAGCGCAGCCCTCAAATAACTTTCGCAACTTAAAGTCGAAAAACAATAAGCGCCGTGGCGCTCTTTCAAGTAAACAGAATTTACTACACTCTTCTTGCGCCCGCTCGCTCTCTCTCCGGACGAGAAACATTTTTTTACTTGGCCTGACCGTATCAGCAAATCGGGACTAGTGTGCGAGAATTTGCATCATATATTGGGAGTGTCATGTGGAGAAACTAAAAGCCAGGGGTTACTCCTGATCTGCCTTCTCCGCGCATGCGTGGGAGAACTGCCTTGCGGTTCTCAGCCAGCAGCTCCCAAAATTGGCTCAATGACCAAAATTGTTTTTCGTCAGGTTCAACACACGGATACAAACTGGAAAATATGAAATCGGCGGCGTTCCCACATGCACATGTTACAGTTACAAATTTTAAAACTAAAAGACTGGTATCTAACAACTAAATATTACAGATTGGACCATAATGATTACATAAAAACGGAAAAGAATAACACAGCAGTTCACACAATAGCATTAGACCTGTTAATTAACAGATTATTCTGGTAAAGTTGAATTCTTTCTAACTAATTGAAGGAAAGAGTTTTTCGAAATCATACCTCCAACTGATTCTGGCCTTAAATTCATCCAGAGCTAAATCTTTAAGTACTAACTTATTCATGTACAAGTAATATTTAGCAAGCAGAAGAGTAAAATCGAGCTTTTTGACAATTTCCAATCATTTCTATCTTTTAAAAGCTAAAAATACTAGTGTCTTTTGACGCGATTTCTCAAACCCCGAACTTTGAGTGACAAGATGAAGTGTTTACCTTGTACCGTTACTGTAAGATCAGGACATAGGGAAAAAACACTAAAAGAGAATCTGTTAATTAACTGGCCGATAATCAGAAGAATAGCTACCAAGATGATATAAGTACAACTAAGTGCAGGATCCAGACCTTGAAATAAGGGGGGTGGGGGAGAGGGCGGTCATCCAGACCCTTAGATAAGGGGGGGACCAGTCTCCAAAAAAAGTTTTTTTGGCCCCTCGGGCCTCAGTCTGGTCTAAAAATAAGACAACGGGAGGCCGGGCCCCCTGGGCCTATTCCCTGGATCCGATGCTGCAACTTCAGACAAACAAATTTCAAGGATTTTTCAAAGACAAATTACAGTTTTTAAGGACTAAGATTTATTTTAAAAATCGGCATTCTTCAACCCCCTTTGATCACTCTATTGGCTAAAACCCTAGCCTTTACAATTAATTTTTACCTCCATACTACTTTCCGCAACAAGACTGACTGGGTATGACTTGCAGTTGCATCTGAGGTACAGAAATAGCATTTGAAATAGAGAAACAGAAATAAAATATTGTTCGTGCACAAAAATGTTTTTACGTTACCCGTGACTTTTACAGGTTCTTGTACACCGAGGATAAGCCAAATTCTCCTCGGTAAAATAATCCGAGTAATTTTACAGAAAAAGGAAGGTGTATACAAGAGTGTGAATTTCAAAGACTTTTCAAGACCTAATAAAGACATCAAGTATTTTTTAAGGACCTAAACCGAATTCAAGGACTCAGACTTTTCAAGACGACTAGTAAAATTCAAGACCTTTTCAAGATTGAACGGACCATGTATAACAGAAACAGAAAGCAACGCTAAACGGCGACGGCGACGAAAACGACAAAAAAATAGTAATTAGGACTAATAGAGAGGAAAGGTGTGACGTCACGTTGCCATGGTAGCAAAAATTCTGGATGGCAACAATGAAGAGCTTAAGCAAGGATGACAGCGAAAATAACGAGAACGACAAAAAGCGATAGGTTTAGCAAAACAACAACTTTGCACGTGCATCACACTTTTTTCTAGCTACATTTCTTAGCTGTCGTTGCACGACTGCGACATGGAACTTCCTAATTTCACGCTCCCGCTCTATGGAGTTGGTCAACACAGCACAAAAATTTTCTTTTTCTTTTTCTAAACTCAGGTACTGTCCTTTCAGAGAATTTTGTCAACATTAAACACATTAAATGAAACTGAATAAGTTCGATGAAATTTGAAACAGTTCGAATTTACTTAGTTGAGTGACGTTTTTGGTTTGTTCTCTGATCCAAAAATTTTGCTACTGTGGCAAATATTAGCAAAAAAAAAACAACAACAACAACCTTGCACGTGCGCAGCACACTTTTTTGTACATTTCTTTGACGTTGTTTTGCACGACTACAGTGTGAAACTTTATGTTGGAATATGTCGTATGTGCTCACCATATGTTTTGTCGGGTTCCTGTTCACTTTTTTCTACACTGCCGCTCATTTTCACCTTGTTGGTCGCTTTTTCTCATTTTCTCACCGCCAATTTCCATGTTTTCGAAATTTGTCTCTTGTTTTTTGTCTAACGCTTTAGCTCTGTTGTCGACGTCATTAAAGACTTTAAAATTTAGTCGGACTTGACTTTGTCCTTGGTTTTCTCTCTTCTAAGTCCGGATGGTCTTTCTCTCCCTAAAAAGTCAGGGTGGACTTCAGCTTTCCCACCAAAAAACCCCGTGTTACATTTGCCATACCTGTTGTTTGAGTTATGTTACATTGGTATGCCTGTGGTGCGGAGGAGTGTGCGTACGCTCACGTGATTATTAATGCATAGTGAA